AGGATAGTCTTGTCACTATTCATGACATTTTTAAAATGCCACACCATTCCCGAGTACTGCCCCGGTCTTACAGGATATAACTACATTCACATCAGTGTCATAGCTTCAAAGACATTCTTCTTAGTACGTCATGGGTAAAGGAAATGGCCATTTCTGTAGAATGGAACAGACAAACAGTTCTTCTAAAACCTAGTCTATCCTGAGAAAATGCTCAAGATAGAAATGGAAATCGTAGTAAGAATTATAAAATCCACCACTGGGATAAGTCAGGGAAACTTCTTTTAGCAATAGTTTCAGATAGTAACCAAGCCAAGAAGAAGCATTTGCCCACCATAAACAGGTTTGCACCAAGTCCCAGTAAGGGAGTGTAGACATTCTATGTATAGCCAAGAGAAGATGAAAAGGCCATCTGAAAATGACAGGGTTCAGGGCTGAGGGACAGTACTGTATGCTACTGCAAATGCGGTGTAAGCATCCTCATGAGCCAACAGCTGTAGTTCTCTGAGTGGTTAAATTAACAAATGTAATAGGCTGCACCGTGGAGATGGGGGATAGGGCTAACTCTTGCTGAGCATTTCCTTGTGTCTGACTACTGGCATAAACCTTAAATGTACTTGGCTAGTCATCAGTGGAACACCCTTCTCTAGGCTTATATATTTGGATCTTATAAAAACCACAGAAAACATAGAAAGCAGTGGCACATTTTTACTTTTGCCGGTTTCTCTTTCCAAAAAACCTGTTCTAAATGGTAGGAAGCTTTGAAGAAAATAAAATATTACAAAATAAATTCTAGCTGCCAGAAGAACCCCACAGACTTTAGAAGTATAGGCTTAAGGACTTCATATGTATCTAGTATATTTACTGCATTTAACACTGGGGGAAAACCCCTCATCTTGGAATAGAGTATGAGGTGGGGGGGGACAGGAGCTGCTTTAACTCTAGCCCTGACCCGGTGTTGTGGCCTGAGCTACAGCTACTGCCTCTGCCCCCACCAAATTCCCCCCATCCCACCACTCTCAGCTTTGCTGCCCAACCCCTTTCTCCTGTCTCCCTCTCTCACAGGCTCTCCCCCCACCCCAAGCTGCTTACCTGGGCTGGGGCCAGAGCAACCATTTACTCCATGTCCCAGGCTGGAGCAGGTGGGAGACCGGGGGGAAGGAGGGCTGGGGCCAAAGCTGCAGGGGGAGCAGGCATGGGGGCAGAGATGGTGGGGAGACAGATAATAAAGGAGGTAGTCAGCAGGAGGGGCAAGTGGTGGTGGGGGGGCAAGCAGCAGGGGCCAAGGGGCATGGGTCAAACTGCCCCCCTGTGACTACAGCAAGCTGTCCCCCCCACTGCCTTCTCTACCACCTGCCCTCTTACGGGTCCTCTTCAGCACCTGACCCCACCACCTCCCCCACTGCCTGCCCCCCTGTCACTACAGCAATGCGGGGGACAAATTTAAGATGACCTTCCAATAATTAGATTCCATGCCTGGAAAATTATAACAAAGTTATACATTTACCATGTACACAACCTAGCTGGGGTGGGGGGGGAGGGGAGGAGTGTCATCTTAAATTCAGGACTGTCTTGGATATGGGTAAATATGGTATATCACTGTGTTAAAAGAATAGTCTCTATCTATGCTGAGACATTTCCACCTCCCAGATGATTACCTTTGCCAGATATCTAACATCTTTTATGAGGCTTTTATATAGCTGTAAAATGTTTAAATGTTTGCTCATGTAATGGCCCAATTATCACAGAAGAATAAGATTCACAGCAAACAGTATGTTTACTTAAGCGGGTTCACTTGCGGTTCAGTACATAATTATTGATGTTAATATTGCCAAAGAAACCAGGAAATGGAAACCTTAATGTTTGGTGTCGTCAGTCATGAGGACCTTTTATTAGCGTTGAATGACAGGCCATATTATTGTCATATTCTGTACATACCATGTGGCCACGACTACACAAGACGCATACTGCGCATTTTGCACATTAGTAGCTCATTACTGCTGTGTAGAAGTGTCACGGGACACAAACCATGATGCAACGCTACTGTGCAGTAGTAACAAGCTACTGTGCAGTCAGCATCACCAGGAAGCATGGCAGAGATGCACAGTAACACCAGTTACTTGGGTATGCAAGTACTAAATGACTG